ATCTCTAATACAGTAATATCCATATAGTAAAGAGGGTTGCTATTCAGTGTTTATGACAAAGGACATTTTGGTCTGTTTCAAGTAAATGATATAGAGAACAATTGAAACACTGGGCCTTCTACATGTGAGAATAATGAAATAATGGGTTGTTGGAAAAATTGTGACATTTTTGCATAGAAAAATATGCCATGACTTTTCTGACAACCCAACATGCCGATATTTGGGAGGTCTTATACTTCCATTAAGTTGTTACTGTTTAAACTGCTTTGAAGCGTGGTCTCCAGAATGGAACTAGTGGATGCTAGAAGGTTCATTACTGAGAGCAACTTTCCACACCCAGCAAAGGCAGGCAGCCTATATATCCTTACATTTTTTTATTATTATTATTTTATTTTATTTTTAGCTTTATTTTTCCCATGAGCAAGAGAGCACTCCAAAACCGAGTTTTGACTCCATCGTCCTCCCCTAGCCCCAGCTAGCCAGGATCATAGGCACTCACGTGTCAGTGTACACAAAGGAGATCTCTGAATGCAAATCCATAAGCTTCCCATGTTGGTCAGCCTTGGTGAGCCTTGCATTTTATTTGGTTTTCAAAAGTCATGACACCTTTTTTCTATGCAAAAATTCATAGTGACTTTTCTGACAATCCTGTATTTATCATCTTAACACTGCTCAGCCCTCTTGGGATTGATATTGATGTGTAACAGTCTAGAGTCTGGTCGCCAGCCTGCTTCTGGAGTCTCAGGCCCCAGTAAGGTGTCCTAGCTTTCCTCTATGCCTGTCCATCCTAACTCAGCAGAGGCTTACAGGTTAGAATTCAGTGTAAGAATGCCTACCACATCTGTTAGACTCTTGTTTAGAAATAGCTTCAGGAAAATGTACATTATGTTGTATTTATGTATATAATATCTTAGGTTTAGTGATTTACATGGTACATGAAAAAAGATTTGGCAAATCTTGCAGAAACCAATTTAAGCTAATTTGCAAAATACTGAACATGAAAACTTACGTTTTATTGCATAACATTAGTGAAATTCCAAAGACCTTTGCTGCTTTGGGACCCAGAGCCACCGTCAAGAGTGAATAAAAACATTGGAGGTCTAATCTTTTTTTTTTTTTAACTTTTTTTTTTTTTTGGAGAGGTTTTCGCTACAGGGCACGTGTGCTCACCAGACAGATAGAGAGAGACATAGAGACAGAAAGCAAGAAATCACCCCCCCAGGGGGAATGGTCACGCCGCAATCCCTTCTCCATTCTCCTCTTAGGATCTTGGGCACGCACGCACACGCGCCCGGTGTGAGTTTTAAGCCACCGGGTCCAGGACGCGAACCGGGGTCGACTATGTGGGAGTCCAGCTACATAGCCATTACGCTAACTGCTGGTTCTCTGGAGGTCTAATCTTGAGAAGATGGAGCCTTATTTATGGCTCTGGTACTTCGATTCCCATTAGAATCATGTGTCATTAAAATAAACCCCTTTCACATGAGCTCTCTTGTGTTGGTCTCTTGTTCTAAATGAAAAAAACCTCCGTTTTTGTCTCACACAAGTTTCCTGTTAGCTCCAGTGGCAGCTTTCTTTCTGGAGTTTGGATGAGTGACTCTTCAGTGCTTTGATTTTTGTTTGATTTTATTCTCATAATTCTGTTCTCAAGCTTACTAGATAGTCAACTGGGTTTCCATTTTTCCAATTTAGAATCTTACCCCTCACTGAGCTTATTTAAAGCAAACAACACATTTGTGACCTACCGATGTGTTGCCTTTGGGGACTTGTTTTCCCTTTAATCTAGGTACTGGTAGGTTTCTGCAGATCCTGATATAAAAGTTTGCTGTAGCCTAGGTAACTTGAAAAGCTGTTAAGGGTAACTGGGTCACACTTGATATCTCCTAGATTTGTCACATTTTCTAGTATTTTTGACAAAAGCCAAGCTAGGAAGAAAAGTAGGCCCCACTGCTACTTTGCATGATAAACACCTACTGAAATCCATAGTCTTGTATACAATGGTGTAGTATAGTTTTGTCATTGTTTGGGAAACTCATTAACCATTTCTAAATAAATCTTCTCTGTAGTTCACCTAAGATAACAGCGTTAGGTTAGGCCATATATTGTCACTATGTGAGCCTTTTTTACCCATTGAAATAGCAGTTGTGTTGCCCATAGGGGATATAACTTGGTCCCAAATCACCTAAAAAAGTGTTTACCTTCAGTTCATTCCATTGGAGCTGAAACCTGATTCACCTACCTGAGCCCTTTAGTGATCTCAATCTCTCTCCTGATGACAAGTCACAGAAGCCTTGTGTTAGTTTCCTGTAGCTGATGTAACAAATTACCACAAACTGGGAATTTATTCTTGTAGTTCTGGAGGCCGGAAGTTGGAAATCAAGGTGTTGGAAGGGTTGTGCTCCCTCCAAAGGCTCTAGGCTCAAGTCTTTCATCTCTTCTGGCTTCTGATGGCTGCTAACATTTCATGACTTGTGATCATATCACTCCATTCTCTGTCTTCACATTGTGTGTATATGTGTGTGCAGGCGCACGTGGAAGTAACTTAACCTCTGCCTTCCTTTTATGAGAACGCTTGTGACTGAATGTATCCAGGGCCCACCTGGATAATCCAAAATAATCTCAAGATCCTTGATCACATCTACAAAGGTTATTTTTCACTTAATATGCATGGTTTGAGGGATGTAGGTATCTTTTTGAATTTTTTTTTTCTTTTAGCTTACTACAAGTCTCATTACATAGTTGCATGGGTCAAGAGGATGTCTGCCTGTCTGTGCAGTCTCAAAAGATTTCACAAAGATGTTTATGCTGCAACCTGTATTTTAAGCCAGTCCACCCCAAAGGGTACTTCAAGTTTGGTGAACATTTGTCTAGTTACTTTCAAATGCTGGAACAAACAAGAGTAGAAGAATAAGAAAAGAGACAAGAAATATAAATTACATTTTTAACTAGTAAAATCATCTTTATTTTTTGAGTCCTAGGCATGTGCTTATTTCATGATTAAAAGGATTTATTTCAAAAGGATTTGGAAAAGCTGTGACTTCTAACAGCTCTAGGAATGAGTCCCACTACCTGCAGCTTACAGAATCAGTAGTTCCAACTCAGAATTTTTTACTTCAACCATCTTAGTCCAAAATCAAAAGAAACCAGGAAGCAACAGAACGCTTGCTTCCAAAAGAGCCTAGAACACATGCTTCCCACTTTGAGAAGAGAAAGGTTTCAAGTATAGTCTCAGAGACATAGATGTGGTGAAAAGGATCTTGGGTTTGAAGGAAGCCAAATTTGGTTTTAGATGCTAACTTCACCTGAAACGAAATTATTTTAGTTGTCTTAGAATATACCTCCCAAGCAAAACATTCAATAACTTTAATGTCTCTCTGAGCCGTTATCTTTCATTTCTTTTTTTCTGTTAATATCAGAGTTACAGAGGCATTATGCCTGAAAAGGCAAATAATGCCAATCCCACCCACTTCCATTTAATTTTCTGTCAAATACAATCCCCAATTGAAATGGACTCTTCTGGAAAGAAAAGGCCAGGCAGTGTCATGGTGGTTAAGGTGGCTAGATCTCACACAGCCCACAGGTGGTTCAAATTCTGGACCTAACAGCTAGAAAAACATGACAGGCACCAAGTGTGTGTGTGCCCAAAGTCCTGGCAGGAGAAACGGAGACCTGGATTGTGGTGTTACCATCCCCCCCAGAGTGATTTCTCACTTTCACTCTCTACTCTCTTTGGCAAGTGCATGTACCCTCTAACATAAGTTGAAAATAAAAGTGAGTAACCACTGATAAGTAGATTTTGTTAATATTAGTGTAATTTTGAGGCTGTTTATGGTAAGAACAGCAAACCAGTTTTCCTAAGGAAACAGTACTAGAGAGAAATCCCTTCCAGTTCTCAGAACTAAGTCCAAGTGTCTTTGTATTCTTCCATCTTGTTTTCCAATTAATCAAAGCTATTTTAATGTCCTGAAACCAGGCTGGGCTCAGCTTCTCTAAAATGAAATGTTATTCACATGACAGGATCTGAAGGGGGAAATGAGTTTGCAATGTACTGAATTTAAATTCTGCTTTTGCTGTTTTAAAAGCAAGAAGGGGAAGATATTTTTTCTCCTCTCTCTCTCTCTCTCTCTCTCTCTTTTTAAGGCAAAGGCAAGTAGGAAGTTGCCCAGTGTTGCATTCTTTGGGTTTTTATTTCCTTTTGGCCTTGTTGACTGACTTATAATCCTATTTAGGTCTATTAAATTGAGTAAGAAGTCTGGAACACACTGATACTAGCCAGGAAGCATGATTTGTTGGAAAGTGAGGATGGGATGGAAGTGTTAAATGCCTTTGGTTACTAAATTCCACGGCCGACATATTCCTCATTCAGTGGCAACCGCAGTGGCCTGCCTGAGTATAGCCATATTTTGTGACTCAGCCTTGGAACCCTGGTTTATGACTGCCCACTCTCCGTAGTATGTGCAGCTATCACTCTTCTATAGCGCTCCTGAGAGCTCCAGAACACCCAAGAAGAAAGGCAGCAAACAACTGTTCCAAAGCAGCATAGCTTTCCTGCTACCTACCTAGGCGCTTAGAATAGACACTGGGCTGTTGGCTGCGAAACCATGGACAGTTCTTCAGGTGCCACCTGGTTGGCCTGGCGTGCTAACAGTCCCGAGCCCTCCTCCTCGCCCGTCAGGCCGGAGTAGGCGGCAGGGGGTGGTCCTGACGCCCAACTTGGGCACGAATCAATACTCAGCCCCCAGAGCTTTCCCCAGAGTCTCCTTGGCGCCCATGAAGAGGGTTGTCTAAAGAGCCCACGCGAGGGGCCTAGGAGGCCGGTTCCTCCCTCTCCCAGCATCCTCGGCGGTGGGCTCTGCAGCTGCGACCTGGGGACACGCTGCGGGAGGCGAAGGGCGCTGCAGGTGAAGGAGGCAGCAGCTGACCAGTGCCTCGCCCGGCAGGGAGGCCTGGTGTGGGTGGGGCATCTCCCCGGACGCCCCGCCCCATCCCCGCGTGGGGCGGGCCTTCCGCCCCCGGCCGCGGCGCAATGCGGAAGAGATGGGCCTGTTGGAGCGGAAGTGACGTCTCCGGCGGCTGTGGCGGCGGCGGCTGCGGGAGAAGGAGGAGGAGGAGCCGGAGGAAGCGGTGAGCCAGCCGGCGGGGGGCGGGGAGCGGCCGCGGCCAGACCCACTGGCAGTTGGGCTGGCGGCGGACGCTTCCTGGGGCAGGCTCCCTGCCACTGCCTCAGCCAGAGCGGTGAGGGCAGACTGCGGGCAGCGGGGGTGCGGGAGGCAGGCGGGCGGTGAGAGGTGCGGCGTCGGGCCGGGGGTAGTGCTGACAGCGGCTGTCAGTCTGCAGGCGGGCACGGAAACGAGTCCATCTGGGCGCGGACCATCTGTGCTGGCGCATAATGGAGGGGCTGGACCGCTCGGTGCCTCCGTCCCCTGGCAGGCAACCTGTTTCGCTGGCAGTCGGCCATCCGAGACCCCCGAGAAGCCCCAGTCGTCTCTGTGCCCGGAGTCGCGACTCTTCCCGGGTGGCCATTCATATTTTCGGGCTCCGCCTGCCGCCCCCCTGGCCGGCAGTGGCCCGCAGCTGGTCGGGAGGCGTTGGTAACCTGTGTCGCTTCCCTTGCCCTTCGCGGCCGCCCCCGGGAGAGCCTGTGGTGTCGGATAATCCTTTCCCTCCTCCCGCCCCCTAAGGAGCTTTGAACCGGCCGTGCTAACCTTCCCTCCCACCTCCTCTCCTTCTCCCCCAAAGGAAAGGCTTGAAGTTTCCGAATCGCTTCCCTTTCATCGTGGTGACAAATCTTGAACCAGGAAGCTGATAAACAACTCCAAACGAAATACGCTCTTTTTTTTCCCTTTGGGTAAACCTAAATTAAACGGGAAACTCATGTTAACTAAACAGTTTGTGGATTTAATAGTACCAAAACCTTGTTTCTTGCCTTGCTGTCAAAATTGATAGCTTTTCCTCCAGCTTTTTTTGGTAAAAATTAAGTGGCGACTTGGATAAACCATTCTCTGAGAACCCCCTTTTCCCCACCCTCCCCCCACCCCCATCAAAACCTGGCAGAGAGGGACTTCTGGATGCCTTGCAATCCTTGCTGCAGAAGGAAACATCAGCCTCATTTGCTTTGCTTTGCCTGGTTTTTACAGGGCTGCCTCTGAAGAAAGGAGAATGGCGTTTAGCAAAGGATTTCGGATCTATCACAAATTGGATCCCCCACCTTTCAGCCTCATAGTGGAAACTAGGCATAAGGAAGAATGTCTCATGTTCGAGTCTGGGGCTGTTGCCGTGCTCTGTAAGTCATCTGCCAGCTGGTCATGGTCTTAGTTTTGATTTGAAATAATTCAGATTCAACCATTTTTTAGAAAAAGACTCTGGCAACCTTCTTACTGTATTTCGTCCAGCATATTATGCTTTTATTTCCTTTTACTCAAACCTAATTTTCATGTAAGCTTTTTATTAACATGTTTTATTGCTTTAGGGAGCACAGGAAGGTGCAGGTGTTGGTTGCACAATTTTGCTTTCTTGGGTTCTGCTGCTTCTAATAGTAAATCTTTTTTACCCTCAAATTTCCAGTTTATAGCATATCACATAAATCCAACAAATGGCCTGCCGTTCTTACTATGATAATCAGAATTTCTCATAGGTCAGCTACAGATAGAGGACATTATCCAATATCATCTAATATTGTCAGTGTATCTTATGTTGAGGTCTTATCTTTTCATTAGGAGAATTGTAAACAACTAGAATTTCATGTGAGCTATGTAATTGATTTAAAATTATTTAAGAAATTATCTTGGCAGTCTATTTTAAAGAAAGGGACTATTGTACCACAAGAAAAATAGATTAGTAAGCTTTGGGAAATTTGGGGGCAAGTGGATGAAATGAAAATAAAAAGATTAATTCAAATATATTGCTTCTTTCTTAAGATTTAGGCAAAGTAATCTCTTTTGGTTTATTTCAAATATGATAGTCTTTTTTTTTTAGAGGTTTTTCAAGTGATAGCTACTTGTTCTTTATTATGTTTTTGCTATGTTAGGATCAATTTAGATACTGGTTATATTTTTATAAATTAAAATAGTGGTTGAAAGGCATACTTACAAATATAAGTCTTTAAATATTTTGAACATTAAATTTTTCTAGATTTAATAAGTGAAGAGCATTAAGACCCTAATAGTTGCATATAGAATATTAACATCAGCTAAGGTTTTAACCTGACTAAAATAGTATAATTTTATTCCCATGAGGAAAATGGTAGTGATATGATGATAATCTTAAGCAAAGAGAAGTGTATTAAAAAAGAGTATATACTTTTGATACATAAGGTAACATGGTTTGAATAAAGGAGAATGGGTAATAATTCTTCTAAGAAATAACTATGAATAATATTGGTTGTACCCAATCAGGGACTTAATTTCTTCAGATTGTCTTTTAGACCAAATAAACTGAAATATACCTTGCAATAGTATTGATTTGTATAGCATATTCCATACAAAAATATAATTTTTATATTGATGAATTCTTTATTAAAATACTCAGGGGAGGGAGTTTTGATTTAGTATGTGAAAGACTTTTCACCTGCTTTTTATTTTATTTTATAGTGACATTACTTAAGGCACTAATCTTATCTAAATTCTAAATGTTTCTTTAGTTGTGATTTCTCCTAATTATGATAGAAAGTCAAATTTTTCAGCTACAAAGTATGCATTACCTATAGTATTTAGGATTATTGCTGTACTTTACTCCAAGGTCAGGATTTTATTTTTGTGTGTGTGTGTGTGTGTGTGTGTGTGTGGCGAGGTTTTTGTTATAGGATGCGTGCGTTCGCCAGAAAGACAGAGAGAGACAGCAAGACAAAAAGCGAGAAAACACCCCGCAGGGAGGATGGCCACACTGCAATCCCTTCTCCTCCATTCTCCTCTTGGGATCTTGGGCACGCATGCACACGCGCCCAGTGTGAGTTTAAGCCACCGGGTCCAGGACTCGAACCACAGTCAACTACATGGGAATTCAGCCACATAGCCATTACACCAATTGCTGGTCCCCTAAGGTCAGGAAATTTAACATTAATCATATTTCCAAAATCTAGCAATCATCTTTTATGCCAAATAATTTTTAAAGGCCCGAAAAACACCCATTTTGGCACAAATATTTAATGTGGAAAAAATAATAAAATACTATCTTAACTATTCTACTTATCTTCATTAGATTTAGATTGTGTAAATAATTCTTTTAGAAAAAAATGTTTGGGGGCCAGCAGATGGAGTTAACAGTTGCGGCACTGGACTCCCATATGGCAGACCACAGTTCAAGTCCCAGAACTGGTGGCTTGAAAATCAAACTAGGCGCATGTGTGTTCATGTCTAAGATACTTGGGAGAGAAGGGATTGCAGTGTGGTCATGACGCCTGGGGGTATTTTCTCACTTAACTTCTCACTGTCTCTACTACCATACCACAAGCACACCTGCCCTAGGACAAAAGAAAAAAAAGTTTGAGTATTGCTTCTGCCTATAAAGCCAGCATAAATGGATTTGTAATCTTGTGGGTATGTTGTTATATTTCCTACTATAAACTTTACAGTAATACTTAAAATATTAATGTTTAAGAATTAACAAATCTTTTTTATAAATCACTTTGCTTATAAAATTAATTTGGCATTCATTGTGGAGAGATATCAAGATCTACATTGTGGTGTACAGTGTTTGTTTTCACAGTTTTTTCTTTATTAAATGTTTTACTTATTTTTTAAAATCTTTTAAGAATTATTTTACATTTATTTATGTATTTATTTACTTACATATTTATTTATTTATTTTAATTTGACCACAGAGGGACAGAGTGAGGCAAGAGAGCAAGAGAGAGAGAGAAAGAGAGAGAGGGAAAGTGAGGAAGCAAACTGCCAGGTCCAAGACTCGAACCATGGTCAGCCATGTGGGAGTCCAGTGCCCTTAACTATCATGCCACCTGCTGTCCCTATGTTTTCACCATTTTAAAATACCTGTTATATTCAGGGAACTATGCTTAGGAAATATTGTGTGCTCTTTTTATCTTCAGTAGTCTCAGCGCCCTGAATTTCAGTGTATCCTTCTGGTAATTTACCAGAAGAATCTTCTAAAATCATTTTTTATATTAAATTGAAGTGCAACCCTGTTTTTCAGTAAGAATAAGTTGTAACTCCTCAATTCGTAAATAAAGGCCTTCCATAATTTGACCCCACCCTTTCTATCCAGTGTTAAGGACACTGGTGTTTCTGCATTGCTTTTCCAAAGTATCATGCTTTTTCTTTGTTTTTTTTTTTTGTTTTTGGTTTTTGTTGTTTTTTTTTGGGGGGGGGAAAGGTTTTTGCTATAGGGCACGTGTGCTCGCCAGAAAGACAGAGAGAGAGACAGAGAGACAGAAAGCAAGAAATCATCCCCCGTGGGTGGCCACGTTGTAATCCTGTATCTTCCATCTCTTCCATTCTCCTCTTAGGATCTTGGGCACGCATGCACATGTGCCTGATGTGAGTTTAAGCCACCAGGTCTGGGACTCGAACCACGATTGACTACATGGGAGTCCAGCAACATAGCCATTATACGAACTGGTGGTCCCTCATGCTTTTTCAAGCCTTTGTCGTGCTGTTTCTTATTATACCTTCTCCCTCCAAGACTGCAAGAGTGCTGTTCTCTACCTTTCCAATCCAAACCTGTCCGTCCCACTCAAGGCTTATTCCTTCATGAGAATCTGCTTAGCCCATTCCGGCTCACTTTCATCTCTACCTCCCCTTCATTTCTTTAGAACTTAGTCTGTATTATAAGATAAACACTTTATTTTTTTGTCTATTAAAATGTTTTAATATGGTCAAAGATTGCACAGTATATATTATGATTGTGTCAGATATTCTCCCTTAGGCAATCCAAAGCAGAAATTGTCCCCTTCTTAAAAAAAAAGAATCATGATTTTTTTTTGGGGGGGGGTGGGAGAGATTTTTGCTATAGAGCACATGCATGCACTCGCCAGAAAGACAGAAAGCGAGAAATCACCCCCCAGGGAGGACAGCCACACTGCAATTCCTTCTCCTCCATTCTCCTCTCAGGATCTTGAGTTTAGGCCACTGGGTCCGGAACTCAAACCGTGGTTGACTACATGGGAGTCCAGCGACATAGCCATTACGCTAACTGCTGAGCACAATGATTTTTACCCTATAGATGTCTTGTCCTCAGCTCTTCCATTAACAGTGACTGGTTCTGACATACGTTCACTTTCTAAAGTTCAGAATGTGGGGTCCACCCCGATGTTTCCTTTTCTGAACAGCCAATAAAGATCGTTATTTATAGAGAATTTTTTTTTAAATAAAGAAAAAACTTGTCTTTAGGTTGTTGGATGGTGTGTGTACTCATCACATACAGAGACAAAGAGGGAGAAATCACGCCCAGTGGAGCATGGTCACACTACAATCACTCCTCCACCATTTCACCATTTTGTCAGGTTTTGGGTATCCACCTCCCTTAACTACTAGGCTCTGGGCCCAGCCTTTGAGAGAATATTCTGCTTTCTTTTCTTTTCTTTTTTTTTTTTGAGAGGTTTTTGCTGTAGGATGTGTGTGCTCACCAGAATGGCAGAGACAGAAAGCAAGAAATCACAGTCGACTACATGTGAGTCCAGTGACATAGCCGATATGTCAACTGCTGGTCCCCACAGAAAATTCTATTTTCTAAGGACTTCAAAGACTTGTTGGTTTCCTTAAACTTTCCTTTAATTTTTCTTAAAACTTATTGGTTTCTTTCATTGAATTCTTATTAAAACTTCTTAATATGACTCTTGTGCTCGCTTTGCTCCACCCAGGCCAGTTTATCCATTTTTACAAGAAAATACTGAAAATATGCTATTGTCTTCTCACACTCACACACAAAAGAACGTACATATTTTAAATGACTAATTTTCTTTTTTGAATTTAAAATAAAATTGGCAAAACCCAGTATTTAATATCTTGTATTGCCTCATACATAACTCCTACATGAAAAGATAAATTCTTTTTCTGTGCTGGTTTTGTTGTTCTGTATATGCTTGTCTGCAGGTACTTTTTTTTTTTTTTCTTTTTTTTTAAAGTTTTGCTAAAGGGAACATGCATTCACCAGAGAGTGACAGTGAGGGGGGAAATTGATAAATCACCCCCCCTCCCAGGGGGATGACCACACTGCAGTCCCTTCTCCATTTTCCTCCTGGGATTTTGGGCATGCTTGCACACATGCCTTGCATGATTTTCAAGCCTCCAGTTCTGGGACTTAAACCATGGTCGACCATGCGGGAGTCCA